CCACGCAAACTGTTTTCGGACGAATTCTGGCTCTATGGCTTGGAAATGAGGATGAGCATCGCACCCTAGAGTCGGACACGACTGGACTAAATGTCAAGGGGAACCTTTACCTTTACCTATCAGGTTATGCACCTCCCTTTTGACCTTGAGAAACCTTTGCAACCCTCAAGGCAGGGAAGGGGGAGTCTTTAATATTGGAATATCGCTGCCAGATTGCTACTACTAGTCCCAGACCAGTAGGAGAAGCATTGGTGGCAATTTTTTCAATATTAAAGGCTTCCACCTTCTCTCACACACACCCTTGTCTTCAGGCTCACAAAGGCTTCTCATTTGCAAAAGGGATTCTTTGGGAGCTGCAGAACCTGAAATGGGGGGGGGGTATGGTTGAATAGGATGTTCTTAATTAAATGGAATGAAAAACAACCATTCTCAGATGATGACATCTTCTGGCTTGTGTGGCATAAATTTATGCCACCAGGATTTCATCCCATGGTTCTCCCTCTTCGTACATGGAAGTTGCTAATAAGTTTTATTTAAGATTCAGGTCCCATTTGTTTTGCTTTTTTCTAACACTTTTGAGTCACCAATCATCCATCAAGAATTATCTCTCCCCCACTCCACTTTTTAAAAAGTTCTTCTGTAATAATATCTCTGGTTTCCATCCATTGTTCTCATTCATGGTTGATTGCACTTAGTAATGCAAATCTATTCTCTAATTAGTCTTTGAATCGATATTTTAATTATGTTCTGGTACAATTATTATTTAACCATTTTTCTCCCACTTTGCTTCGCTTTTTGATATTAATAGTTCATAGTCTATACTGCAGTCTGCCCCTGGTCTTGCTTTTGAAAGGGCCTCAACAGTGTCACCTGTATTAAATTTGTTGTCCAGTAGCAGAAATTTTATTATTTCTCCACCCTTCATCATTGTTGGAACTACCAGCTTTCTTTTGCTGGTGTAACCATTAATTATTGAAGATGATAGCTCCATCTTAGCCTAGTGCCTCAGCTTTAACTACCTGGTCTTGGCTGACCCTGCAAGGAATCTAGCCTTGTAAAAAAGTCTAGCATTCTGATAACATTGCTCTTAATTCCCTTATCCACTTAAAATCCCTCCGTACATAAAGGTGTGTATACAAGAAGAGGGGAAATACATTATTGGCTCCTAAGTTCACCCAGTAACTATACTCCAAGATTTTACCATTTTAAATGGCCCAAGGGCCAATTTGCTGTCCCAAAGATTTCTGGGAGCCTTGCCAGCCTTAAAATGTGAAAGGGGGGGAAAGAGATATTCAGTGGACCCTCGACTTACAGACAGCTCGACTTGTAGACTTTTCGAGTTACAGACTTCTCTGGCTGCAAAATTAGGTTCGACTTGCAGCCAGAGAATCGACCTACAGACCAGAAAAAAACCCAAAATGGAACAAAAATGGAACAAAAACGGCCGGTAACAGGATTAATCAGTTTTCAATGCATTGTAGGTCAACGGAGACTCGACCTACAGACTTTTCTACCTGCAGCCACCGCTGCAATATGGATTAATTCTGTAAGTAGAGGGTCCACTGTTTCTAGTTTCCAAAATTCTACTTCCAGTTTTATTATTTTCTCCCTTTAATTTCAAAAGGCTTTTTCCATTTTATAAAAAAGAATAGTGTTATTCGCTGTTACTGTGGTTCTTCGAGTGGTAGACTCACACTAATCGGTTTCCCTGTACCTGCCCAGAACATTCTGCAACTTTGTAGAACAGAGCAGATGAATTTAGCAGGAGTTCTACCCATTCCACTGTGCATATTAGTGCCTGTTCCCCTCCAGTTCACCTTCACTCAAATGTCCACCATTCTACAATGTATGAAACCAGAGTTATCCAAAGAACGAAGAAGGGAGAGCCACATAAACTCACAAATGGTCATTTGAAGAACCAGAAGCAATATAATGTCTTGGGGAAAAACAAGCTGTCCTTCAGAGGGGAAAACAGGATGTCACATAAGCAAAGACAATATGGATCTGCTAAAAAATACATCCTGCCAAGATTAGGTTTGTGTGCCATATAAAAGTAAATACAGTGGTGCCTCGCATAGCAATCGCTCTGCATAGCGAAGTAATAGCTTTGTGACGCTGTTTTGCGATCGCAAAAGCAATCGCTTTGTGATGGCCCCTATGGAGAAAATTCGCTTTGCGATGATTGCAGGGAAGCGATTATTGCAACCCCCCATTTTCGGCCAGCTGATCGGCGGGGCTTTGCGATGATCACTTCCCCGCGATCATTGCAAAGCCCTGCTGATCAGTTGTGCTTCGTCTCTCTCTCTCTCTCCCCACCCCTCGCAGCTCCAGCCTCAGCAGGGAGACTGAGGCACCGCCACTGCCACCCTGGCCGAGAAAGACCCTCTGGGCCTACAGCAACCTTAAGCCCAGGCTGGAGCTGTGAGGGGTGGAGAGAGAGAGAGAGACGAAGCACAGCTGATTGGCGAGGCTTTGCGATGATCGCTTCCCCGCGATCATCGCAAAGCCCCCATTTTCGCACAGCTGATCAGCGGTTCCAAAACAGCGGCCACTGTTTTGCCTCACTTCAGAGGCACCCAAAATGGCTGCCGCTATGGAGGAATTTCGCTTAAGGTTAGTTTCTAAGCCCATAGGAATGTATTAAAAGACGTTTTAATACATTCCTATGGGCTTTTTAAAATTGCTTAGCGATTAAATCACTTAGCGATGTTTTTTCTGGAACGGATTAATGTCACTAAGTGAGGCACCATTGTACATGAATCCATGTAACCACTGAACACAGCCTGGCAGAGGGATGCCTCTCAGAACAGCCACTGAAATGGTCTGGACAGAATTATGATATACAGGAATTGGTAATGGAGATTTTGCCACTTTATAGCATAAGTTAAAGTTAATGACCACCCACTTTGAGAGCCATTAAAGTGACACCTATTGTTTCTGTTTCAGTGTTCCCTAAAAAAAACAAGAAGTCTTTTCACCTAATGTGTCCTGGACATTGTTTGCACATATCCAGAGTATGCAGAACAGAGTCCAAAGGAGAGCTCAGGTACTACAGAAAGTTGGCAATTCTTATTCCATGTAGAATAATGACACCACCTTTGGTAAAAGGGATATATCTGACAAAGTATTTATTTGTTACATTGACTTATTTATTTGCCAGTGTCCTATACATTCCAGCTTTTGTTTAAAAAAAAGTTAAAGCCATGTACATGACTCCCTGCCCCCATTTTCTCCTCACAACAGTCCTGTGAGGTAGGTTCACTGAGAGAATGTGTCTGGCCCATGTCTGTTTCATGGCTGAATAGTGATCTGAATACTTTTCTTCCAAGTTTTCAAGCAACACAAGTTAATATAAAGCACACACAACTCACTTGGTCTTCAAGTCACTGTTGATGGTATCACAATGGCAAACGCAATAGTCAGTACTAAAATTTTTGAGAATAAGCAGAGGGAGGGAAGCAATAATGTCATCAAAGCTAATATTGAAATTAATAAGGAATGTAATGTCACTGATGGCACTCTTGTTAGTACTGGGGTCATGATGGTGGTCATTTCAAACTCCCAAAGAAGAAAGACTGGTACCTATAAAGACTGAGTGGGTGAGAAACAAACAGTTTTCTGTTTCATAACTTACCCCAATTGTTAAACTGATGCAAGGACAATATTGATGGCTGAACTCTAATCAACATGAGTTGGCTTCATTAATCATGAAGTTAATATTGAGTATGAACATGAGTGTGTTCAGTGTGAATGATTGTACTTGTCCCAATATATCTCATCTACATTCAGCATAAATGATCTTTGGTTTCAGTGTACAAAAGTAAAACTGCTCATGCCTATATAGCAATAATGATTCCTTTATATAAAAGAAGAAGAGTGGCAATATTTGTAGGAAAGATAGTACTCTGCATCCCATGCAGAGTGCCTTTATGAGGCATTAATTGGAAGTGTGGCAAGATATAGAGAATAATTTCTAAATCCCAATCTTGATTAATCCCAATGGAGCTCACGTGCAGCTGCAAGAACAGTAGATAAAAAGGAACCGAGTAGAACTGACGGAATAGGCACTGAGATTCACGGTGAAGTGAATGGCATTCTGGACAAAATGCCTCAGCTCAGCTCTAGAATCTTCTGAAACACTGTGCAAAGGTGCAGGATAATCCATTAGTGTGAATCACAGAGGCCACTGGGGATAATGAACAGTTTTTCACATTCAGAAATATCTACCCCTTATTTTTTCATGAGCATCTAAGAGGCCTCGAAATTAACTTGTCACAGGCAACCCATGGCCCACCCCACTATTCTCCACTGCTGAAGAGGCATATTTATTCATACATTCATTCATTCCAGTTATTTCTATTCTGTATTTCAAAGAACAAATTTCCCTAAAGTAGCTTACAAATAACATCTACATTCATTCATAAAATCACAATTTAACATAGAAAAAGTCATCAAGATCCAGCTTATTACTGGTAGACAGTCCCAGGAGTTGTGGTGTCTATAGGGAAAAAGAGCAGACACCAGTTCGGGTGTCTAAACGGAAAACAAACAGCCACCTTCTTTTTCCTGCAATCTACTATTACTGGTAGATGGCCCTCTGCAATAAGGTGATAGTTACAGCTGGCTTTGAGAAAGGACAGACATTACAATGTGCTCTGTCAACTCCAACAGGTATTTACTTGTAACTATTTCATGACCTTAACTTTACTTAGTAAAGAACCTGGCTCTCAGCCTGCACAACTGGCAATTCTTTCCTACCAGGTCCTCCCAGTCAAACTATTTTTCTTCTGATGCTATCATGATCATGATAGTATATCTATTAATAAAATGATGAAGTATTGTCAGCATCATGTTGTCACTATGACAAAGGAAATTTGTATTCTGTCAATAAAACGTGTTTAGTAGCAATGCTATTCTTATCTAGGTAGTGTAATTTCAAGATATAATCACACCACAAAATTCAATAAAATTCATCAAAGAATTGGAAAAAATTTCCATACCTCACTACAAGATGCAACAGCTCTGTGTAAAGGAGTCAACCATTTGCTGTCTTTGGCATTAACTCTAGCTCCTGCAAATATAAACAAGAATACTAAAGGAAAGCTCACATGAATTCTATGTATCTAAATAAGAGAAACAGATTAATAAAAATATTAAACTATTGCTGCAGAATAACTACAGATCTTTACAGTATAAATAATACCTCTCTACAAATTGTAGTTTATACATTTCCTCTTTACAAAAATCACAGTTTCACTTAGTCATCAAATTTGTTCACCACAGAAATAAATCAATATTCTTGTTAATGTTGTCTGTCAAACTTCCCTAATTGGTTGTGGAAATTCTCTACTTTAATTCAGTAATTTTTCTTGGATGGTTCAAAATAAAACAGGATTAACTCTAATGTTTAAAAAGCATTCTTTTGAATCCCACTAATTTACAGTTTCACACCACATTTCCATGAATACTTCAAGAACACAGCAAGTTATGTTTCCAAAACAATGCTACAGAACAGAATAAAACACTGAATCTGCAATGCTCTGTATGCTTACCTGCAAGTAAGCACCCAATGAACACATGGGACATACTTCCAGCTAAACATACACAGGATTACCAGCAAGCTGCAGTACTCCCAAGAAACTATTTACAAAACAGAAAAACAAATGAAAAGGAAATTCAGAGGAAAGAGAATTCTTCAGTTTCTGTTCCTTTCAAACAAGTTCTACACAGAGAATATGTAACTTTGTTTCCACTCTTTAATTGTAATCAATAGATACATTCCCTATCCATTATTAAGATCCTTAGAAATACTCAAGATATGAGAACCCCAGACCAAAAATATGGGGTAAATTTTTTTCCCCTCAAATGACAAATTATTCATTTTTCCAGTGGGAAAACTGGAAACTTCAAAGAATCTAGGAAGGCATTCTGAAGGATAGCTTCTCTATTCAAATGAATGAAATGCATTTAAGATGCTAGGAACTGCAGAATATGAAATTTTATTTGCAGGACAGTCTATTGAATTTAAAAATGAATTGTTTGCCTGTAACTATGGTTCTCTTGAGTGATCATCTCTGCATTCACACATCTGGCATTCATACTGTGTGTGCATGTGGAGCAACCTCGGAGATTTTTTTAGAGCTAAAGTGAAACTGCTTTTGGCAGGAGTCCCACCTGGCTGGCCGCACGCGCTTCTGCTAAGATTCTGTTCCGGAAGTCTGTTGTAAGACAGCAGAAGGATAATAACTTCTGGTGACACCAGAGGGGAGAAGGCTGAGATGTGTAAATGCACAGGTGATCACTTAAAGAACCATGGTTACAGATTACCGTATTTTTTTCGTTTACAAGACGACCCAAAGTGTTTCTAACCCCAAATTAAAAAAAGCAGAGATCAAAGTGCTCCCTTTTTGCTAAGCCCCGTGGCTTGGAAAAAGGCAAGGAAAGTGACTGTCAAAGTGACTGCCGCTTTTCCTCGCCTTTTGAGAAGGTTAGCAAAAGGCACGCCTTTTGCTAACCTCCATGCCTTCTCAAAAGGCGAGGGCTTCTCAAAAGGCGAGGGCGCACTGGGTTTAGCAAAAAAGGGAAGCCATTGCTGCTTTCTTTTGCTAACAAGGCAGGAAGAAGCACACCTCCTGCTGCCTCCACCACAGGAGGTGATGGGGGGGAGGCAGCAGCCGGAGCACTGCGAATGCTCCTTTGCCTATGCCTCCTGCTGTCTCCACCCCTGGAGGGGACCAAGGGAACAAGGCAGAGACTGAGCTGAACCCTTCAGTCTCACTGGAGATGGTGATCGGGCGGCCGGGGGCGGCAGGCATGAAGAGGCGCTGGAGCATGTGTGAATGCTTACCTTCGCCTCTGTCTCTGCCTCCTCCTGCTGCTGCTGCCTTGGCCACGGAGGGGACAAGCTGTGAGCTCTGAAAGAGGCAACTGGGTGATAGCAGCGGCAGCGAGAGGTGCCTGAGCGTGTGCAAGCGCGTGACTGCTTCCTTCCATTTATAAGACGACTCTCAATTTTTCCTCTAATTATTTTAGGGGAAAGTGTCATCTTATACACAGTAAAATACGGTAGTAACTCATTCTTTTTCATCATGCACTCCGTGCATCATACATCTTGGTGATTAGTGAGCTCACTTACCAGGCGGCAGATGTCACCAGATGGAAATACACACAATTGTGGATTCAAAGAAGGTGTCCTGGTGAGCTCAAACATGGGGTCTATAGTGCCTAACAAATGTCAAGTGTTGTGACAAGGTGGCTGCTCCACAACTAGTGTGGAGAGGAATTCTAGCCAAGCAAGCTGTGGACAATGCTACCACAAACGGGAACTTCAGTTATTTTTTCCAGCAGGTGGCCAGGCAGGACTCCAGTCAAAAGCAATTTCACTTTCACTTTACCTCTAGGAAACTCCAAAGTTGTGCATGCATAGGACAAAACCCATATGTGTGATGCACATAGATCTTGATAAGAACAAAAATACCTATGCATATGACAAACATACACAACGCTAAAATCCAATATATATTTGTATATCCAATGGATGCTGCCATGAGAATAGCAACATGGGCGCAACATGAATGGGAACTTTCATTGCCTGTGGCTTACAAGGCAGATGGTGCAGCAGTCTGAAGTATGTGGCATATTCACAATTTTAAAAATAGTTTTATATTTTTAAACTTTATAAATCTGCCAAACAGTACAGCAGTACACGAATGAAGCCTTTTATGTTATTAAAATGGTACATTAAGTTTAAATTTGATACACAAAATAAGTGCTGCATATATTTCAGCTGTTCCCAAAACTTCAATTTTTCAAAAAGCAAAAAAGGAGTGTGTAAAACAGCCCCGCCCCTATACCTACAAAGTTCCTAGAAATGTCCTTTCTCTAAGAAACACTTGGTGAATGATTTGGGAATCAAATCCTCTGAAGAATGTTGAGGGACACCAGAACACTGACTGAGTTTTAGCTTTTGTCCTCTGAAGATGCCAGCCACAGAGACTGGTGAAACGTTAGGAAGGAAAACCTCCAGAATATGGCCAAACAGCCTGAAAAACCTACAAAAGCCATTGGATTCCAGTCATGGAAGCCTTTGAGAATATAATTTTGAGGGAATTTGATACATTTAGTTTTGTGAAGAAAGGAGATAACAATACAATAAATATTTGAAGGGCTTTCATCTGGAAGATTACACAACCATATTTCCTGCTGCTCCAAAAGGGAAGGCTCCCAACAATTGGTTTCAAATTACAAACAAACAAACAAAATTAGAAAGAATTTCCTGATAGTGTGAGCTGCCTTACAACAAAACAGATTAGAATGTGATGAATCCTCCTTCATTGGAAGTTTATATGCAAAGACTAGATGGGTCCTCTGTCAAATATGTTTAAGCCAGAGATCTCCTGCATAAACACAGGTGTCTGAATAGAGGCGGGGCTTCATCACTGTGCAGCCAGCAGCTCTGGGGAATAGCTCCCTGGAAAAGCTGGAACTGCCCCCTCTAGAAATGGGGGATCAGAGACCAGGAGAGATCTCTCTGAAGCAGTTGGTGAGCAACAGAGGAAGAAGATTGGACAGCAACCCGGTATTTCTTCCCTCTGAAAACTCACCCGAGCACAGATCGGGTGCAGGAGCCATTTTGGCAGAGAGCTGTGAGTAACCCACCCACCCCCCGGAGGAGAGGAGAACAAGCAATACGGTGTTGAAAATATATAATAACACAGTAAGTTGAAGCGTTTGATTTATGAACAACCCCATTAAGCTGAGAAAGAAATCAGAGTGAAAACATTTGCCCGAAATAAGATAAGGAGCGGCAAGTTTCGCTTACCAGCCTGCTTTTTCAAAAACGAAACTGACTCTTAAACAGCAGGCTGGTTCAAGGCTGTAAGAGAGACAGTGAGACGGAAAAAAATTTTGTTTCTGGAAAAAGTCCCAGAGTGAAATGCCACTGGACAGAATTTAAGAGACTGAAGTTTTGTGAATGCTGTTTAGCCTGGACCTTTTTCCCTAGACTGCGTTGGACTCTGATAACAGAATCTAGTTTGGATTTTGGGAGAAGAAAGAATAAGCTTCTAGAAGCAAGAAAACATACGGAGAATCATCATCAAGACGGAATGGGCAACTGGACTGAGCAGCTAGGAAAACCAGGACTGGAGTTTCTTTGTAACTGAATCTTTGGATTAATGGAAAGAACATTAGACGGACTGATATCTATTGATGAGACTGATTCCCTGTGATTGCTATCTAGTCTGGATTTTCTTTGGCTGGACTGTGTGGGACTCTGATAACAGAATTTTGTTTGGTTTCTGGAGAAAAAGGGATATTTTTGCCATGGTTGTATTTTAAATTGTTGTGCTAAAAGTAGATTTATATATCATAATATCTGTGTAAGGATGGGAGGAAGAACCTAGGGGAGATTTATGATTTTGGGTGAAGGATATAGTTCTATTTAAGGGACATGGTGGCGCTGCGGGCTAAACCGAAGAAGCCTTTGTGTGCTGCAGGGTCAGAAGACCAGCAGTTGTAAGATCGAATCCACGCGACGGAGTGAGCTCCCGTCGCTTTGTCCCAGCTCCTAGCCAACCTAGCAGTTCGAAAGCATGTAAATGCGAGTAGATAAATAGGTACCATCTCGGTGGGAATGTAAACAGCGTTCCCTGTATAGCCGCGCTGGCCACGTGACAACGGAAACTGTCTCCGGACAAACGCTGGCTCTACAGCTTGGAAACGGGGATGAGCAGCACCCCCTAGAGTCGAACACGACTGACTAAAATGTCAAGGGGAACCTTTACCTTTAGTTCTATTTATACTGACCCTAACCACTGGAAAGATCAAAATGGCCTCCGAAAAATTAAAATATCAAATGTTGGGGACTTTGTCTGCCCAATCCCAAAATTTTGGAATAGGGGCACAAAAATCAGACAAAGAATGGCAGACTACCATGCAAAAGATAATAGAAGGATTTCAGCAAGTACTGTAAATGAACGTCTTAGCCAGATAGAATATCTGATGAAACCGAAGTTATCAGATGTTAAACAACAGTTAAATGAAGCTGTACCAACTCCAGAACTGCTTTTATTGAGTACAATACCAGATAACATAGATTGGGATAAAGAGTTACCCAGTGAGCCGTTTAGCCATTACAGTCAGAAAATGTTACATTAAAAATTGGACTGCTGTCTTGGATTCAGCTTTCTCTTCCAAAAATTGGAAGAAAGCAGAGTTACAGAAAAAAGAGGAGCTTACTGAGAAAATATGGGAAGCGACAGAAATGCATACTTTTTAGACATGCTGAATGACTGTCCAAAGCAAAAGGAAATTGAACTATGGGATTTATTTTATAAAAGGCCTCGGTTCCCTGATAGTGTTGGAGTAACTTAGACTAAAACTTAGACTATCAACTGTAAGTTGATAGCTGGAGGGTAATCAAATGGGAAAAAAAAGCAGAAAACTAATTTGTTATTGAAACATGAATAAATTGCATGACTGCATATTTTGTGTTCTCCTATCCCCCTAACCTTTTCCTTTCCCCCCACTTCCTTTTGCCTTTTGTATTCCCTACCCTATTCTTAATTGTTAAAAAATTAAAAACAAAAACAAAAACACAGGTGTCTGACTAGATGGGCAAAATCCTGTTGGCATAAAGCTACACAACATAAACCAGATCCAGCACTTGAAATATTTAATTTAAATGAACTGAAAGCTTCCTATCCCCACTTCCAGGTTCCAAGGCTCTCTAGGGTCTCTTCTGCCCTGAGGATACCTTTGGGAGCTCCGAGAGGGGAGAGCCTTTAACAGTCAAAAAAAGGCGCTAATTCTGGCAGCAGTAATCTGCAGCAATTTTTAACAATTAAAGGCTCCTCTTCGTCTCATGTCTCCCAGAGGCTTCCCCAGGCAAAAGTGAGCTTCAGAACCTAAAAAAAGAGGGGAGATATGAAGCCTTCAATTATTTTAAATTAACTATTTTGGGCCCTGGATCAGATTTATGCTGGTGTAACTTTACACAACAGGATTCTGCTCAATATGTGTCTCATAATAATAGGCCTAAAATAGTATGTCCGTAGGGAAATACACTAGAAATGGCTTGAGGACAAAAAGAGGCACAGATCTTTTGCAACATGAAACATCATCCTAAGGCTGACACTTGTTCTCCTTTCCTAACTATAGCACTGCACAAATCTTAACACCATGTCTTGTGCATTACCTGATACTTTTCCTTTTTAGTTTGAGATACGAAAGGTAGATAGGCTCTACTTCTGAGCTACAGGCCCTCTTACATAAGGCTTACAAACAGTATAATCTTAAAGGACAAATAAGTAAATGTCCTTGGTATCGTGCCTCAATTTCAGTGCTTGTTCAACTTCCTTCAACTAAAATGGCAAATTTGCAACCTCTCATGTATGTAACACATCTATAAAACATCAAAGGATAACATGGACAAATGGTACCCATGTAATTTCAAATTTTTGTAACTTACTGTATTTTCATAAATAGCCACTGAAATTAGCATTATGGAAACATATCAGCAACCAACAGTAATACAGAAACACACTTATACTTCTTCCCTTGCTGTTTTTCATAATAGCTGTGAACAGTTCCCTGCTTTTTTGTTTGCTTTGCAAAATTAACACTCATATCCTTGACTAATATAATTGAATACTAATTTTTCCTACTTCTTGTAGGGTGCATTTTTGTTTTATAAAGAACATGATATTTCCACTATTTTCTAGCATAAAAACAATTATTTACATAGTTAGCCATCAATACAATAACTTCAATAATAATACAGTACTTATAGCTGAATGGCACAGAGCTACATAAGACAAATGTTTGTGCCACTGATTAAAGAGAAAATCAGAACCAAATATCTAATATCATATTTTAAAAATCTACACAATTATGTTCTCTGTCCAGAGTGTCTATAATCAACAAAAACTACATACCAGACAAAATAAGTAGTTCAATAATTTCTGCATCTCCCAGATATGCAGCAGCATGTAATGGGGTCCGTTTTTCGTTATCCTGTGTCAAGGCAAAGAAAATTAACAATAAATAACAGTGTGTGGATTTTCTGCAATTTAATGTAAAAATATGGTACAATTACTACATTTTATATTATTAGAAACATCAAGAAAAACTCTAGTGTTAAATATCAAAGCTGATTATTAGAGTCTACTACATACTCTAAAATTCTTAATATAATAGCCTGCCTTCACTTTTATACTCCACCAGTTTGAGTAAGAATATCAAATAGAGTGGCTTCTGTTATGCCTCGAGTTTATTGACAGAATAGAAATATTAAACAGAGGATGGAATGAGGCTAATCGTCATAATAAATTAATTCAGGAACAGAGATTTAATATTTCCAAAATCGGTACTGTAAAAGTGAGTAGAACCTTCCCCTATATCAGAAAGAAAGAAAACAGTCTGGGGGGAAAACAGTGTTAATAATATAAACTTGAAATATCTTTAAGGAAAGTAACTTAAGATTGCAGGTGGCCATTGGTTTGAAAGGTGGTCTAGTGAGGGAATTGAGGACTAGTTGTAAGGACCACTGAGGCAGTGGTTGCTGTCTTGGAGGTTGAATATTTTTGAGTCCCTTGAGGAATCTTTTCAGGGTAGGATGTGAGAAAAGTCTCGCTGATTCGGAATGAGAGGGCTGATGGGCTACAATAGTTGAATATAAACCTCAAGTGCCATAGTCCGAGATCAAAGAGGGGAAGAATAAAAGTAGAGTTTTTAGAAAAACTGGAACTGCAGTTAAATTTCGAGAATGAGTGAAGGTGGTGAAAGATTTCCATTTATTTTGATATAATTTTTGGTTAGACGGCTTTCAAGCTCGATCTAAGATGTTTCGAATGGAAAGAGTATTCTCCAGGCTGTCAAGATTCAGAGAGCAGATGTCGGGGTGGAGAATCATCCCGTTGCTCTGCTTGAGAAGGCTGGTCATCAACGGAAGATGGAATACTTCAATCAACATCGATCTCAGATGGGTGAACCACGGTTGCCGTGGCCACCATGGGCAATGGGAATAGCAGCGACGTGGGATTGTCCGAGTTGAATGACTGATCATTGAATGAGAGGAATTGGTGGGAACAGGTAGAGCAGTTTTCCAGTCCAGTCTATCATAAATGCATTGCCAAGTGATTTTGGGTTGATGCCGGCTCAGGAGCAATACCGTAGACACTTAGTGTTTGTGTCGGAGGCAAAAAGGTCGATGGACGGGACACCCCATCGGCGGCAAAGAAGACTGAAGATGTTGTCGCTTAAAGCCCACTCATGCATCCCTGTGGTAAGACAACTGAGGCAATCTGCGAGATAGTTGTCATCTGTAGAAACATGGACAGACAGCCACTGGGAAAATGTGATGCAGGTAGCACCATTCCCAAAGTTCTATCGCAAGATAAAGAAGTGATAGGAAGTTTGTATCTCCTTGTTTGACATAGTACAGTGCTGTGGTTTTGTCTGTAGCTATCTGTACTGAGTGGTAGAAAGGCATGAAAGGCTTTGATGATTGCCAAAAATTCTAGATGGTTGATATGTAATTATTGTTCTCGTTTTGTCCACAAACCACATATCCTGTGATGCCGACAGTGAGCTCCCCATCCCGATGGGCTGGCATCAGTCATAATTTGTACGGAGAGCTGTAGAGGTTGGATGGGTCTGCCTGCCATCAAATGAGGGAGGAACGTTCACCAGGTCAGTTGACCGGCGAGTTCTGGTGTTACTGTGAGATATTTGGACTGGTGATCTATCATGGGGTGAAATAGTGACAGGCACCACGAGTGTAGGGATCTCATTTTGAGCTGTGCGTGTTGGGTAACGGCTGTGGTAGATGCCATGAGCCCGAGAAGGTGCTGGGCTTCATGTACTGATACTGATGCCAGAGGTCAGAATGGTCAGATAGCTTGTTTTAATTTGATGATCCTCTCTTGGGGTAGGAAGGCTCTGGCTTGGAGGGAGTCGAAGTATGTGCCGATGTAGGTGGCGGTCTGCGAGGGTTCTAGGGGACACTTGGCAAGGTTTATTCTGAGCCCCAGGCTTTGAAGAGTGTTGAGGGTCAACTGGGTAGCTCTGACTGCATCGTAGACTATTAATCAGTTGTCTATGAATGTCCTTGGTGCCGTGGAAAATCCAAACGGAAGGGAGCAGAATTGGTACAATACATTGTTGAATCTGAATCACAGAAATGTGTGATGAAGTCGATGGATGGAAATATGGAAGTAGGTATTTTGCAAGTCGGCAACGACAAACCAGTCTCCCTGTGAAAGGATGGGGATGATGGTTTCAAGAGTTAGCATTCGGAAATGTCTGGGTCGGATAAACTTAATTGAGGTTCCTGAGATCGAGAATAGGGCGAAGTCCTCCGTCCCTTTTGGGAAACGTAAAGTATCTGGAGTAGAACCCTTCATACAGTGAAGAGGAAGGGACTTTGAGTATGGCCTGCTTTTGTAAAAGGAGGGAGACTTCTTCATAGAGGGCTAGTGAATATGGGGTAATCCAAACAATGCCAGAGGGTGCGGTGCAATAAAATTAAATGAAATACCCATTTTGGATAACAGAGTGGATCCAATTGTCGTTAGTGATTTTTTCCCAGGCAGAGATGAAAGGATGGAGTCTGGTTTGGAATGGAGATGAAAAGGATTTATGGGTATTGCTTACCCCTTTTCTGTTGGCATAGAAAGGGCTGCCACCAAGCCTGTGGTTGTTGGGGCCGAAAGGGCAGGATCGTAGATGTAGATGGTGTTGTGTAAGATTTATACTGAGCTTGTGGTTGGAATGATCGGTATGGCTGTTGGTATGATTGGAATTGGTGCTGATAGAAAGGTTGTAGGTTGTCTGCAATACTGAAGGCACTGATAACAGTAGGGTTGCTGAGCAGTATATGAATGTGCTGTCTTGCAAATTTTATGGAGGTTTCCCATCACTTCATCGGTTCTGGCACTGAAAAGGCAGGTGGCATCAAAAGGGAGGTCTTCAATTCTTGTTTTGGTGTCATCAAAGATGCTTGCCAATCGCAACCAAGCATGACGCCTAAGGGCAATTGAGGTGGACATTGCCTTAGAAGCTGCATCTGCTGTATGATGGGCAGCTATTCTCTGTTGCTTGGCTAAGGTGGAAGCCTCGGTATGTATATTGAGTGCTTCTGCTTTGGTAGCATCTAGAGCTGATTGAATAATAGGCAACATTTTGTCCCAGAGTTGGCGATGGTACGTTCCCATAATTAGCTACCCTCATGAGGAAAGATGTGAGGGAGTATAGTCTTCTGCCAAGAATGTCAATTTTTCGGCCTTCTCTGTTAGTAGGAGCGACAGACGATTTATTGTGTGCTCTCGGTTGGGTAGATTCTACTATGATAGAATTTGGCATAGGGCGTTTTGAGAGAAAAGCTGTATCCATTCCATGAGTTTTATAATGGTTTTTTACATGTCATGAAATTTGGAGTGAGGAAGGAGGCTTATCCCATGTTTCTTTAATTAAACATAGCTGGAATAAAACTGAGGCTAAGTGGTGGTGTTTTGTCCTGATCTAAGTCGTCAAAAACAAGGTCCTTTTTCTGAGGAGGTGGCTCCTCAATGTCAAGTTGCAGGGATTTAGCCATTCGGAGAATTAATTGGGAGTAAGATGTGAAATCCTCAGATGGTGATGGAGGGTGATTCTCCCTAACATCATATGGAGGGGTGAGAAGGTTGGATGGTGATTCATTGGATAAGATGGATTCAGAATCTGAAGACAACGTGGATGATCGCGAAGGTGATCGGTGTGATCTTGTAGTCAATGTCAATGGTGGTTAATGAGTTGTATGACTTGGTACTGAACCTTGTACCGTGTCAGAAGGTGGGGGAAGAGGGCCCTTGTAGGGAGTAATAACATGAAGGGATGTGCATTGTCTTGATTGTTTAGTATGTTTTGGTGGCACCTGAGTTTCTGGTAAATGAAGAGGTTGCTTGAGTGCAGATTTCATCAGAATCGAGACCTGATGAGTCAATGTGGAGTGGGTGGAAGTCAATTGACGCTGATGACGTGGCGGTGAGGGTGATACGAATGGTGAATAGTGGTGGTGGAGAGGCGTATCTCACTCTCCTGGGCGTGAGATATGCCTGTTCAGTAAATGCCTCTGAGTAATACGGGTCATAATGTTGATACTGGTCTCTATAGTCACTTCTGGCGTGGTACTGAAGGGGCCCAGGATCTTCTTAGGCATCCTTCAGTCTCGAGAGACTATGGTAACATGCTCTGTATCGAGGACTTGGAACAGCATCTAGTATGGCTGAAAAGGCCAATTTGAGAGGGACAATCCCTTCCACACTGAAGACACATACAATCTGTCCCTTGTCCAGCTCCCTGATTTTGCTGCTTCTGGGACTGCCTCTCTGCCTTGGCCTGCTGGATCTCTTCAAATTGGGAGAGGCCGTGATGCAGCGCCTGCCTCCAGGCTGAACAGTCAGATGTCAAGGTTCCCCATCTGTTGAGGTCTATTCCTAAGGCCTTCAGATCCCGCTTGCAGATGTCCTTGTATCGCAGCTGTGGTCTCCCTCTGGGGCGATTTCCCTGCACTAATTCTCCATACAAGAGATCTTTATATCCCTATGTGAAGGAGCATAGTGACTTGGAGAGACATGTCATCTTTTTTCCTGGTGTTTATGGGGAGAATGATGGGACGACTCTGATCCTGAAAGCTGCACAGGTATCGCCCGCCCTGATGACAGAGGGCTTAAATAGGCCGAGGCTGGGCAGGATTGCACATCAGCCAGAGATAGGCTGCTACTAGGCAACAGGCTAGCAATGGAAGCTACAGCCTGGGCCGGTGTTATAGCAGGATAATCCCTGTCTGGAGTTGAAACTGGCATCTCGAGATGATTCCTCAAGAATGGGTGAAGGAATCAGTGGCTGAGGAGTGTCAATTTGAGTTGAATTAGTCATTTTCTTTGGCTTTTTTATCTTGGCTTTATCCTTTTTCTTTTTAAATGATTCATCGGAACGAGTTGGAGCTCTCAATATGGGAGTGGAGCTCAACTTCG